GGAGTCTGTTTGAAGACAATGACTGTAATAGGAATTTTGAGTCTAAGCAGCCGCAGCAACACACACATCTCAGTCTCCATCATCTTCCTCACACAGATGATTAGGTGTGCAGAGACCAGCACTGATGTGGAGCCGGGGTGATTGAATCACAAAGTGACCTAAATGAAAGAATTGATTAGTCTCGCGATCATGATGTGTGTGAAATGAGCACCCTAAAGTCTCTGACACTGATCCATTAGGATTCTTCTCAAGTTTGCTTGTGATTCACTGGTACATTGTTCTGACAGCTGCTTCATAGTGGTTGACATTCACACTGAGTGGGGGTATTACAGTGGACAGATCTGATTGGCTGACGTGACCAAGTGTTCAGGAGAACTGCAATTTATCAGAAGAATCAGATCAGAATAGAGATGGATGTCAAGGTAAAAGAATGGACTTGGCCTTTTAATTATCTTCATCGTGATCCTCATCTGTGATTTTATGACATACGCTTTTGTATGACATGTAGGGCTGAAGGGTGTTATGATGTGAGGCAATTTAGCACAGTTGTGCTTAGGGCTTTGAGCTAAATGCTAACAGCAGCATGCTGACATGCTCATAATGCTAAGATGCTGATGTTTAATGGGTGTGCTTAGTACCATCTAAGTTTAGTATGCTAGCGTGCTAATTAGCACTAAATACAAAGTACAGCTGAGGCTGATGGGAATGTAAATCGTTTTGCTGGGGTTTTGTCATAAATCAAAGCACTGATGCACTAGATAAAAAGTTAGGGGATTGCCAAAGTTATTACAGTTCAGCTGAGCAAAATCCATATGTTATTTCACTCAAAAATGCTTTTCAGACAGAACTCTTCAGGGATATAGAATAACTTTTATATCGAACCATGATTTCCTGGAATCATTAATTTGGAAAAAATAATTTTATAAAATGATAACATATGATCGTATCATTAGCAATACTGAAAGTCAATATATCCCTTTCATGCATGGCATCCACATTTGTGGATAATTATTTTAACTCCATTTTGGGTTACTATATCATGGTTATGTTCTCCAAGTCATTTGAGGACAGTGTCAGTTGATTGATTGCAACACTGTAACTGTGGTTACTCTCTTGTTTTCCAAATATTTATTGCTTGATGACCCCATCAGTCCAAGATGGCCGACTGTGATGGCCATGTGCTAAATGCCTCAGGCATATCTGTGAAAAACTTTTATTCAAGGAGTTCAATCAAGATAAAAAAAATAGTAGTATGTACAATAAATATTATTATTAGGTTTATGTTTTATAAATTAAAATTTTGAGTAAATTGTAGTTTTTATTCACCAAAAACCAACTGTCCACGTATAGACGTACGTGGACGTCATGCAACAGTGGAGTCACATTGCATTAAGTTTGATTTCTGTAACCAGCTAGTTTTTCTATTCTAATTTTTTAAAGATGTGATAAATTGTATAATATTATAATAAAACAGACATTTAACAAATACCGTAAAACTTTGATTAATAGCCCGGGCTTTTATTTGCTAAAATCACTGAATTGACCCTGCCTTTATTTGGGACAGGCGTCCATATGGGACAGGCCTTTAATTCTTTTTGCACAAAACTGAACAGTTTATTTATTTCAAACAGAATAATACTTGATGGAGTTCACATGACAGGATTCACAACTTGGATTTATTTTTATGAAAAGCTGTTTTGATTCTTTTGATCGGTGGACCCTTACAGATTAAAGGAAGATAAATAATCAAGGAACGGACGCATTTGGACTTAATGAGTGGACAAGCGCTTCAAAGTTAACGGCAGTCAGCACTTTTTTCCCCTTTTCCTCTCTTGAAGCCATGCAGGTTACACCAGTAAATCTAGAAGAATTAAATGAACTTAACAGTGGTATTGTGGAGAATCTAACCGATCTAACGATGTTCAGCATGTCCATATTGATCATACGTTTAAACATTAATATTTGTATTAACGATCTAAGCAGCTTAGAAGCAGCTAAAGCGGGCGACCCCGCAAGGTTTAAGATGTTTTATACATTGAAAGAACTTCTATAAAAACCAGACCAGGTGTTTAATTGAGGCTTTTTATTGTTAATTTTCAACTATTGAGCTTAAATACATAGCATAACATGATATAAAAAACAAAATCAGGTAATATCAGGTGTGGCTTTGTGGTGTCCACATACGGAGAAAGTTAAATAATTTAAAAACAAAAGGATGCATTTATGTAAATTGGCTGTTTCCCTTGTTTGACTTTGACATTGGCTCATTGCATAAACATGAGCCGTACGAGACAAATTTACACATGGAAATCCCATTTGGAAAATGTATAAATTTCCCTTTTGCCACTTTAACCTGAAACACAGCAAAATGTTATTGGTGCATATAATGTACAGTAATAATGAGAATATCTTTTGATTTTCAAAAGATATTCTCAGTTATAGTATTATTTTTCAGTAATTAGATTAATTAACCAACCCGCAGGTCTTAAAAGTTGTGGAGGATCACTGCATGGTGTACATGTGACATCTGCAGCCTTCCTACAGCCAGACTGCACTCCTCTTTGATCCGGCTTCATTATGCAGTAGGAGGCTGACCTATCATGAAAGCTGAGACATGCTGTGTTCCAGCCTCCCGTATTGTAAACACAGAGATGTACTGAGACAGCTGGTTGAGGGAAAAATTGTTAATTAGGGCCTCTTTTTTGAAAGAAAATACAACCATATCTTTTCCTGGTTACAAACACTTCACTGGCAGTTATTAGGCCAAATTAAGCCTCTGTTTTGCTCGTCCCTAATGACCGTTTTCCCTGGAAGCTTTGTACTTTCTTTTTTTAAATCAGCGCTTCCCATGTCCCCTCCTCACTAATCCCCTCCTCTCATTAACCTCTTGCCTTATTTTATGCTTTTTCCCCATTTTTCACATTCACAGTGTGTGTGATAATGCCACGTTCCAGACTGCTCGGAACTGGGAAATTTCCAAGTTGAAATATCCAACTTTCAACCTCAAAGCGTTCAAAGGTGCATGGTGGTGTATGACGCCGAAAGTGAACAAAAAACTGACCGTGACAAAGTGTACACAAAGTTGCACCCTCAGCTGTGCCTTTGGTGTAAATTAAAAGGATAGGCCGTTTAAATGCAAACAACTGACACAAATGGCCTATACTTCAGTTGTATTCCCGTCTAGCTACATCAGTTGGTAATCCTCAAGAGTCAGTCAATATTGTAGGTTATACTTCCTAATGCTTTCAAATGTTTTGGCATTTTTAACAATAACTTTTATGCAGAGAAGATGACTTCATGAGATTCTTTATTGTAACCAGCTACCTAATAACATCAATTTACAGTACATGCAGAACAGGTTTTACTATATGATCGTATGTATTGTTTTAATTTAAATACATGCAAATGTATATTTTGTTGCCTTTTAGTTTATGATTTCCCATTTATAATGTGGGCTTCCATGGGAGCTGGCATTGTTGTGTGATGTAATTCAGCTGCTACTTGTGAAGTCGGGGTACATATTTTTCTCCGAGTTCACAAGTAGGAAAATAGGAAATAGTAGGAAAGTAGGAAATCCAATCAGGTGGCGTTCCATGGTACTTTTTCTAGTTGGAGGTCGGAATTTTCAGTGTTCCGAGTTGCCTAGAACGCAGCAATAGGTACCTATTGAGCATTTTCTTGTTTTCATATCATCAGTTGTGCAAAGTTTAGTTTACTGTTTGATGACACTCGCTCTATGGCTTTTTGGCCGTTTCACACTTTATAGGATGTCATTAATTAAGTAGTTGGAGTTCTCCAGGTTTGAAACAATATTACACATGGCTTAGGCTGACACATTTCCTGGACTTACTTAAGAAGAGGACTTGTTACATTATATAGTAGAGTTTGTATTTCTTGTGCACAACCTGTCTCTTGAGGCTGAAAAATGGGGATATTCTAACATAAACAATATACTAAAGGAGAGCGACAACCTCATAATTTGACGAATACCACCACATTTTTGCCAGACTGGGGAAAAAAAGGAATCACCTTTATAAAACTTTGCACCATTACTATCTCATCACAATCCAGTGTCTCTCAGAAAATGGCTCAAGTGTAGAATTTAAACTGTGATTTTGAAAAAGAAAATCCCTGTGTTATCTTGGGAAATTTCAGCTGACACATAAGGAATGTTAAACCCGCGACCCGATGCTCCCCTTTCATCCTAAAGCTACAGAGTGACTCTGGGCTTTATCTTGGATAATTCGTTTTCTCTTAGCTGTACCACCTAATCTGAATATATTAGCTTTGTACTGTATGTCACCCGAAGAAAGAGTCCAGCTCGAGTATAGCAGTGGTCACCTTCAAATGACAAGCCTCATCTGTCTCCAGCTCACCTGAATATTGTATCAGCATTGTTGGATGTCTCACTCATCCCTCTCTCTCTCTTTTCTTTCCCTGGTGTGTCTCTCCCCGCAACCTCTACCTTTTATCCTGTGCTCCTCTTTCCTTCCTCCTGTCTCATCCTCAGATTGTCGTCACGTTTCCCAGTGCCCTCTCCTTCTCTCTCTCTCTGTATCTCGGTGTGTCTGCTGTCTTGTGCGGTGCCGCAGGGCTCTCTGGCTGATGTAATTTATGCTATCTCCTTTGCTAGTGTGAGAGGAGAGCGTCCTGAAGCCAACACTCTTCATGAAGAGTGCTCCTGTGGGAGGCTGTGAGCCAGCACTGGCTAAGCTACCCTCTTTCTCTCTCCCTCGCCATTGCTCTGTGCACAATTCAGTGACCACGCATGTGAAAAAGACACTCAATCTGCTTGGCAGTGCAGGATAATTAAAAATACAAATTGGAAGTGATGTCACCAAAGGTATCTGTTCTGCAGCCATTCATTACACCAAAATGTCAGATTAAGTCGCTCCATCAGGAATCCAGAGGCAAATTGGACTTCTAGCAGCAGTAAGCACTCGGTTTTTGGAACAGGAGAAGATTTCATGTTGACTGAATATGTTTATGTGTGGTTGCAGGACTGCCATCCATTTCTATGACAACAGAGAAGGCTTTGGCTGGGGAACTGAAGAGCGCAATGGAGGGTGACGCCAGGAGAACCAATCAGGTGGGAGCGCTGTGGAACTCACAGCAGCTGTAGATCATTTTGCTCAGGCCTCTCAATCACTCAGGGGCCTTCCGTCTTTCTGTTTGAAATGCAAGACAGCTAGCCCCCTCTGTCTGTGCCAGCAACTTAACAACTTAACATCTTAGAGCAGCAGCTCACACAACATCATGCATTTGCTGATTGCCTCACATGATCAGAGATTTTGCAAGGCGAGTGCATATAATGCCCCTTTAGACTTAGAATGCAACTGTTTAAATGAAGAGACAATGGACAGTGATTTGAAGCTCTCTTACCTAAAGGAAGGATTTTCTCTCTCCCAGGTTCCAGAGGACCACGGGGAAGCGGATGATAGCTCGGAGAAGACCCCCAGTAAAGCCTCCAAATCGCCCCAGAAAACCAACAAGCGGCCCAAGACTGTCCCAGTCAAAGTCACACTACTAGACGGTTCAGACTATGAGGCTGCAGTTGAGGTATGTTGCTAAATTTTCAGTGCTGGCGAAAATGATGATGATGATTGTATTTGCTTGTTAGAGGTTTCACTGGTGCTCTTTCATTATGTGATCTTGTTGAGCATCTGCAATGATTTTTAATGCTACATGAATGGAGAATTAGCGCACCAATTGTTTGCCTTGATGCATCCAACTCCTAATTCTCACAACAGAAGTGGAATTCTCTTTTTGCCAATTTTCTAGGAACTGGACTATTTTGTTTGGTTTAGATAACCTGGCTAAATTATTAACTTGTTCACAACTAGCCCTGATCCAGGACCATGTTGTATGTACTAAATCATGGTCCTGCTCTTGAAATTTCTAATAGTGTTGAAAATACAAACTGACAGGATGAAATCATATTAGTGACCTACACCTATCAGTGTGTAAGTTTTAGTGGCATCTAGTGGTGAGGGTTGCGAATTGCAACCAATGGTTCACAGTACATTCACGTGCTCCTCGGATGGTCCCATTTCCCGAGTTGTGAAGTTGTTCTTCTGACTTCAGTCATGTGTTCATCTGCTCTTAAGTCACAATATGGATTCAACATGGAGGCTAATACCAAGATGTGTTGGATTAGCATTTTCAGAGCATATAAACAACACACAGACATCTAGTTCACTCTACATGGACAGCAAACTAACATGAATAACCGTATTACAAATGACATGTTTGCAAAATATGTATATGCAATATGTGATTTTGCACGAATCAAAGTTCTGTATACTTCTTTATGTCCCATGCACACTTTTGTTCTCTTTTTGCAATAAAGATTTAAGGAGGGAAAAAAGATTCTGATTATTCCAACACCACATGCACCGCTCACCCATCCCTTTCCGAGCAAGCAGGAGAAGATACGGTGGTCGACAGGCTCTGTCAGCTCTTGAGCTAAATAATACATGTGGTCCTTTATTTGTCAAAATTTCTCTTCTTTTCTTACTTCTAATAAACCAGTCGACTGCTACTTATACTGCTACTAATATTACTTGTTGTTCTTCTTCTTCTTTTTCTTGATCTTCGTACGTATTCAACGTAGTGACCAAACATGCTCTGTAGAGCCGTTTGTCCATTTTGGCTATTGTAAAAACATGGTAGCGCAACATGGCGATGTCCATGTAAGAGGACCTGCGGTGTATGTAGATAGAAAGGGCTCATTCTAAGGTAATTAAAACACAACGGTTCATTATGTAAGGTCTTTATACACCACTGAAAACCTAGTTATATATATTATATTGCATTTCTGTCAATAGATCCACCTAAATATTATACACAGAACCTTTAAAGTTGCTTCTCACTTCATAGCTAAACACACAGCTTCCTTTCCATGCCACAATAACAACCCTCTAGTAATCGTTTTGCCATCCACAATTTTGCAAACATGCAGAAATATAATTAGAATAAAGGATTTCAAAAAGTGGTTTTGCAGTGTTATTAAAACAGAGTTTGGTTGTTTCTCAGCACTAAAATGCACACGTGCTTAAATTTTAAATCTTGCTGTGCAGGGTGACAATAAATATAGCATTTTAAGAAGCTGGTGTACATCTCCACCATTTGAACGTAGCCCTTGACTCAGCACACCACACGAAGGTACACCTCAGTGGGATTTAGTCTCCCTCAGTAATACATGCTACTGAGTCAGGAAATGCAGCTCTGCTGCTATTCTCACTGAGAGGGGGAGTGATGGGTGGAGGGAGGTGAGACAAGCTCTACATTGTGGGGGATGGAAGGCTAAGATGAGCAATCCCTGGCTTCCGTGAATCGTGACTCTGTAGCCTTTTGTGTTTGTAAACAGATGGGTGTAGCTTGGTGAATTCCTACCACTCTTGGTTTATTTGAATTTCACAGTAGCACCACACGCTCATCATGATGGAACACTGCAGAAAATGTATCTGCTCCTGGACTGAAATGACTTCTGAAGAAGAGTGAGGGGTGCTGAAAGGGGTGTTCCACACCAGAGGGAGATCCTGTGCAGGGCTAGAGCTGCCATGAATCACATTAAAGCCCACACTGGAACTCCATTGGCTGCCGCTGCTGATGGAGTGCGATGTGTGACGGGAATGATCTTGTTGGCTGCTCAACCTCATTCATGTCACTATATTCCATTTATGGCTTACTGCCTCCCACGTGACCTCAAATTTTTTACTTACAAGAGAAGAAGTCCTGACCGAGGTGTCCAACACACATTCTCCTTCAACTCAATCCCCTATCTTTCCTTCTCTCTTGGTTACATGCATGCATACACACACGCACACACACATTTCTTCATGTCACCTGGGCGGTGACACTAAAAGTATTGGGGTTTGACATAAAATCCATACAGTTGACAGATGAGTGCTCTTATGTTTGACCGGGGAGAAAATAGAATAGCTGAAGGAAAGAGAGAGAGGAAAAGATGAGGAGGGTGAAGAAAAGATGAGGAGAGTGCAAGATGATGTGGAGAGAAATATGGAGAAGAGGATAGATACCAAGACTGCTTACATTGTGTATGAGAGTGTGCAATGGAAAAAAGGCATGCAGAGACACAACAGTGAATGTAATAAAATCATTACCTTAATTACAGTCATGATGTCCATAAAAACACAGAGAAGCTGCCGGAGCCTCCTGTTGATGTTTGGCTCACAACATTGCAGATATTGATTGAGCTCGGTGTGTTTTCATTTCCAGTCTAAAGCCATACTCTTAAAAAAAAAGAACTCCACCACCTGCTTACAGTACTTCACTGCCTTCAAGCTTACAAACTCTAGCTATTCGTTTTTCAAAAACAACTTTGAATGAAACATCTGGCTTTTAGATTAAAATCCTGAGGAGACCATACTCTTTTTAACTACTTAAACTTTGGCTGAACAGAATGTTTTATGCAGGTCCAACCCTAATGTTCATTTTTACTGGTTAACCACAAGACCATGTGTGTTTCCACTTTAATCGAGAGGAAGGGCTGTTTGGGGTCTGCTTTTCCTGAATTCAAAGTGTTATGTTCCACTGATATTTAAGGGCTGAAACAAATCTATATGCACAGGATAAAACCTACAGTCAAGAGCGCTCAAGTGCCTCCTAAGACAAAACCACCAGCTCCATAAACGTGAGGCTCATGTGACCATGTGGTTAACAAGTTAAAATGAAAGATTCATGACATATCATTTCTTCCAATTTTATTAACAGCCATCTAGCATGTTTGCCTCCAGCATTGCTCTCTGCTTGCACAGTCAGCTGCAGACCTGAGCCTCTTGAAAATGAGTTCAGTGTCTTGCTCAAGAGAACTTAAGAATGTATGAGCTGGAGCACAGTCTGCCCGGTTGAAAGGCAGCTTTTCTCATTATACTGTATAATCTTTTAAGTGTCATGAGCCAAACTTAGTGAACAAGTCGTAATAACCTTTGATAAAATGACCATAGCATATTTGGTCCATCCACCTTCAAGTATTATAATTTAAATGTTTATTGCATTCACATGTCTTTCCACCATGGTGGCATTGAATGTGATGCTGCTTTATGTATATAGTGTTTCGTCCAGCACTCTATGTGTTTACTTCACCTGAAATTTGCAATGTAAAAAAGTGTCATGTCAAGAAAAAGAAATAATGAGGCGATGTCACGTTTTATTAAGGGACATTCCCTTTAAGCTTACCCACCATGAGTAGTACTACAAAGCCTATGAAAAACAAATATTTCTGTGGCTCTGGAGGGAGCTTTCCGAAGTCTGGAAAATAACCCTGGCGATGTCATCAGGGTTATCTCAGCTTTGGTTTTGAGGCTTCAAATTTATAACAGAAACAAACGGGGGGGGGGGGGGGGGGGTGGATTTGATGGGCTAACACATTCTCAATTCCGACTCGTCACATATTGACGCTTGGTCAAAGCCCTTTGGCGTCGCTTTTTAACTCCCTGGGTACCCCTTTTGTGTCATTTTTAGATGTTTAGGGCAAGTGAGCAATGCTTAGCAGCAACAAATATGCAATGTCTGGTAAAGTTAGCAACAATAAATAATCATGCATGCATCCGGTTACACTTTCAAAATAAAACTCTAGCATTTTGAAACATCGCCATTTTGAAATGGCAAGTTATTAAAGTTGTGAAATGTTTCAATTTGGTTAGGTTAGGCACAAAAAGTACTTGGTTAGGTTTAGACAACAAAACTACTTGGTTAAGGTTAGGAGAAGATCATGGTTTGGGTTAAAATAACTACAGATAAGTTATCACGTAAGTTAACTTACGCCACTTCCGTAATTTACACAATTTCTGTAACTTACACAATTTCCGTAACTTGCCAAACTTAAAAAAAAAAATGTAATGTTGACGTTTTGTTTCACACGGGACATGAACATCGCTCTTCTGGTTCAAAGTCCAGGTTCTTGCCCTCCATCCACCCCAACCTCATATATCTACCTTTATCGTCAAAAAAAAAAACGCTACAGGGCTTCCCCCACTGCGTTGAACTATGACGCTATAGGGATCCCCAGTGCGATACAAACTAACATAGATGAGTCTTGACCATGCATCCATATGTGATGAGTCAGGGAGAGAACTAGTTGCATGATCATGTATCAGTAGGTCTACTGAAAGATGGTAAAAAGATAAAGACTGAGCACTGTAGCTTTGAACAAAGGCAGGGCAGAGGATTTTAGAGGGCCAGGGGCCCACATTTATAAAAGGCAATTTTTGCAGATAATTAAATAAATACATGCCTGGAATGACTACATTTGTTAAAGGAATATTAAAATGTATGTATTTCAAACAAATCCATGACAGAGGATGGTTCAAATACTGCTACATTACAGTTAATTAATGATATGCAAATCATGACATGCAAAGAAATTAAATGTCTTTCAGGCTAACTTAACCAAATTTACTTTCTCCTGGTTCAGCCATTAACCCATTCTCTCTCTCTCACACACACACACACACACACACACACACCCGTCTCTCCTCATCTTGTTTGCATGGGTGCGGTGATCACCAAAATGGATTTCTAGGAGTATGCCAAATGGCTGCTAACACAATCAGCCCACAGAACTAGTTACAGAAATGTGATTGGAGCCAATTGGAGCGACAACTAAATCTCATCAGCAGCTCCTGAATCTGTTGCCATGCTTGGGGGGGCACCTGAGATGTGTGTTGCAATTTCATTTTGTTAGAAAATCGAATATATGCGCTGCTCCCCAAAAAATGTGACTGTTCTCTCACTACTTTGCCTGTGCCAGCCTCAGTACTTCATGATATAAATTATTATTTAACTGATTGAGAGACAGATCCCTTTATAATGACTAATTAGCCTTTCTCAAAATTATTTATTTATTTTTTCTTACAAGAGCCGAACAAAGCTTTGTGGTGGCCTTGTAGTAACCGAAGATGGAGAAAGTGAGAGGGCACATGCACACACAGAAGGGACCTATTACTTCTGTTTCCATGGTAACAGCTGCTTGGTTGCTTTGTCGCCATAGGAGCCAGGTTTCCCTAGGAGATGAATCTGGCGTGTGTGTTCCCGTGTGTGTGTGTGCGTGTGTGTGTGTGGAAATAGCATTTTGCCAAGGCAGACTGTGCAACCCACAGAGGCCTTGTTCTCAGCGCTGAAGGGCTGGATAGAAAATAGGTGTGGTCTGTTGAGACGCCACTGATGCGAAAATGCAATTCCTCCCCTTATATAGACATACAGAGTGCAGCTCCTCCCACTCAACAGGGGAGAGAACAGACTAGAAGCATCTCACAGACCATAGTTGGGGTGGAGTGTGTCACTGATATTGTTTGACTCCTTTGTGTGAAATATGAAGTAGTAAAATTATAACCAGCTATTATATTGCTAGATAACCAACCAGAATCATTAAGATCCCATTACAAAGAGTCTTACAAGTCTTTTTTTGTAAGATAATGTTTTGCATTTTGCATTTATGCCAGTTGATAGTGTAGATATAGACAGGAAATATGGGGAGAGAAAGAAGGGTGTGACATACAACAAAGGTTCCCGGCTAAAATTGATCAGGGATGTTGCATTCATTTGGTATGGATCTTAAGCACGAGGCAAGCAAACACTCCAAAGTCATACACATCTTTAATGAACTGTATTATTGCACTCTGTCCTCTTCTTAATATATTTTACAGTACATGACGTTCATAAAACCTGGACCTGTCTGTTTGCTGTGTGTTCTTATATGGTTCTATGCATGTATGTCTGTGTGTTTGTGTGTGTAACAGAAATTTGCCAAGGGCCAGACCCTGCTGGACATGGTGTGTGGCCATCTGAACCTGCTGGAGAGGGACTACTTTGGCCTGTCTTTCCAGGACACGGACAACTCCAAGGTCAGACACAGAAACAAAAACACACACATGCATTAAGATGTCTGACTTTGGGACACTAGCCTACAGATATTTTTAGTCATATAGTCAGATCTGTAACTGAACCTCTGTATGGCTGGAGCCAAATGAAGCTGCAGTTAAACCAAACATAGGATATCGATTTTTTCATTGAATTTAGTGTGTGTTTTTATACATATTTTAATTTACTTTTTTGGTTGGATTTTATCACTGATTTCAGGGCAAATGTCAACCCACCTTTCAGCTAACCAGCCCACTTAACTAGACTGTTTTTCCAGGTGTTATAAAGCAATGAGTCCCTGGTTGCCCTTTTAACTGTGCTTAAGCCTGAGAGTGGCATACATGCCCTTTACCTTTTTAAAATGTGATTAGACAGTATGGCCTTTTAAAAAATGGTGTACAGGGTCTATAGTGCACCATGAAAGCTCTAGTGACATTAAGAGGAGAGAGCTGGATTCAGATGGCATTTATATTGTATATTGATGTTTTCAGTGTTTATAAAAGCCTTCATCCATTTTCTTTCATCACGAATGTATTTGGCTTTCAACTAGGGAATAGATTTTAAAAGGAATGAAGAGCCAGAGAGTTACAGTTCTTAAAGGGGCTCATAAAAATGTGAATATGGATGATTTTGCTGAGGTTGATTTCGCAAAGGGGATTGTCTCTTTCTTTCTTTCTTTCTTTATCAGAATTGGTTGGATCCCTCCAAAGAGATTAAGAAGCAAATTCGGGGTAAGTGCAAAAGACACACACACAGAGTCCAACAAATCCACACACATACAGCATTTAAATGAACAGACAGTCCTTTGCAAAACAACCTTGCTGGTGGTGTGTCCGCAGTTGGTTCTTGGACCTTCGGATTTTCTGTCAAGTTCTACCCTCCAGACCCGTCCGTGCTCATTGAAGATATCACCAGGTAGGTCTGAATGCATAACATGTTTTTGAATAAATGTATGAATGTCCTCCACAATTCTGAGGGACTGGCGGTGGTACTCTCCGTTACTAAATCTTAAAACCTCAACAAATAGCATTAAAAATGTTCAGAGTCTACAGTGCTTTGAGCTAAATGCTAAGCTCAGCGTGCTAGCAGATTCACAATGACAATGCTAACATGATGATGTTTAGAATGTCAATGTTTACCATGTTCACCATCTTAGTTTAGCCTGTTAGCATGCTAGCATTTGCGAAATTAGCACTAACCAAAGTACATCTGCGAGTTTTGCAGGTATTTGGTCATACACAAAGATTTGGACAAAGTAAAAGTTTGATCTGATAAGCGTCATTAAGATTCATCCTCTGGACGCCATGAAAATAGGTGCAACATTTAATGGTAATGCATCCAATAGTTGTTGAGTTATGTCAGTCTGAATCAAAGTGGTGGACTGGCTGACATACACACACACACATTGCTGTCCCTAGAGCCACACCGCTAGCATGGTTAAAAACTTGGGTCAAGAAGTCCAACAGTGCTTCTTCCTGATGTTTCCTGATAATGTAGACACCTAACTCTTAAAGATAAAACAGTGTCAGCAGCATTTCTGCCTCCACTTCCTGCAATTCTTTAGGTACTACCTGTGCCTGCAGCTGAGGGACGATATCCTTTCCGGTCGTCTGCCCTGCTCGTTTGTCACCCACGCCCTTCTGGGCTCCTACACTGTCCAGGCTGAACTGGGAGACTATGAACCTGAGGAACATGGCCCAGACTACGTCAGTGACTTCCGTTTTGCGCCCAACCAGACACGTGAGCTGGAGGAGAGAGTGATGGAGCTGCACCATAACTACAGGTCAGAAACAATATGACTACATTCAATTGAATGCCATGGGGATTATGGAAAATACTGGTATTTTTGATTTCTGAGATGAATATGAAAGAAGTGATGAATCGTATTGTATTTGCGTCGTAGGGGAATGAGTCCAGCAGATGCAGAGGTGAACTTTCTAGAAAATGCCAAGAAGCTCTCAATGTATGGAGTTGACCTGCATCATGCTAAGGTATAGAGATAAAACTGCACTACTCACAGACTTTCAATCTGTCAATGCACTTTTGTCTGTGGTTTTTTGATGCCCTGTGCTTGTGTTCACCAGGATTCAGAAGGAATTGACATAATGCTTGGCGTGAGCGCCAACGGTCTGCTCATCTACAGAGACCGTCTAAGGATCAACCGGTTCGCCTGGCCAAAAATCCTCAAGATCTCGTATAAGAGAAGCAACTTCTACATCAAGATCCGCCCAGGAGAGGTAAATAAAAGCTGTCATTATCTTGTCTTTTGCATCTTGCTGACTCAGGAGTTCACTGCGCAATAATTGCATGCACAGTCCCACTAGAACAGCTCGTGACAGTCACTCTGGCAAAGACAAGGCAAGTGGAATGAAGGATCATTTGGCAAAGAGCCAACTCCACATTTCTATTTCATGGTTTCACAGTTGTTAAAATGACATCATTGTCTCCCTTGACTCGTCCCAAGCAGCATAAATAGTCATTTCATGGTTTGATAAAAGTGTTACTTCTGAGATTTATCTGTAGTAAACCATGAGACAACTGAAGAGAACTATTTTTTTCAGACATTATTTATAGCCCTCAGAAATACAGTTCTTACAGATTAATCCGATAGGTCATGTTTTCAGTCCCCTCCTCCTCTGTCTTCCTCTTTGGTGACTTTAAAGCGTGATTAGCCAGTCATAAGGATTTGCACTTTCATCAAGGATTTTACTTGCCACATTATGCTCGCTCAGGTTTTCAACTCCCTAAAATATTATGATTTGCTGTTTTTTCCTTCTTTCTTTGGCCCTCAGGGTATCTGCAGCGTGCTTTATATCCACTGTTAAACTGACATTGACATCTTCATCGTGAATACCAAGGCCATTCTATGCATATACTTTGTTCTGCAGATCTATCCTCTTAAGTCAGCTGTCACTTCAAATTTGCCTGGAGGGTCCTCATTGTGTTTTAAAGCCCTTTTATTCTAAACTGTCCCCACAGATTTTTTTTTTTTGTATGGGACAGAAGTTGGCTTCCTCTTGCGAATGGAGTACTCCTAATGTTTAAAGACCTGTTATATTGCTAATAACCTATTGATTTGAAAGCATCTTCTTCTCCACTGCACATCTGATGGAGTGAGTGCACGAAAGGCTAATTTATAGGTTGGTTAGAGATGGAAAATCTACCTGACATGGCAGTGCGAGACGCAAGAATTTATTTCTACGAGTAAACAGAAAAACAACATTGATTTTTCCATTGCTGCGGAGTAAACACAATTCACCTTGCCACCATCCCTCCATTTTCCCCCGCACTTGCTCCCTTCACTCTCCTTTTCTTCTTCACCTTCCTTCCTCCTCCTCCTCCTCCACCTCCTCCACTCCTCTCCCTCACTGCTCAGTATGAACAGTTTGAGAGCACCATAGGCTTCAAGCTGCCCAATCACCGGGCCTCGAAGCGATTGTGGAAGGTCTGCATTGAGCACCACACCTTCTTCAGGTAGGACTTTATATTCACAGATACACAGAGACACACACTTCTTCTGCACTGCAGTCGTTGCACCCTGCATGAAGTGTTAACACAACAGAGCTATCCTTTTAGTGAAACTTAACTGTGATGATTCCCTAACTTTTCATGGTAACGCTTTTTTCTCCAAGTCCCATAGTTCTGTATAATTTCCTTGAAAGGAACTGATGTGTAACTGTAAATTCATAGGAAGGTTCCTGAAGAGGACACTGTAATTATAAGCTAATAATTATAGAGACAATGAAGACGGTAATCAGTTTGTTCACTTCTAATTAATCAGTTACAATTAATTGCTATTGCAACCTTTTAGTCACTGCACAGCAGGCCAGCTGAACTTGTAAAAATGTGATATTTGTCTACAGGCAAGCACACAATGATAAAGTTTCCAATAATAACTTGATTGTTTTACTTGGGTTTATATTAACGTCACTCATCAGTTTTTCCAATCAACTTACAGTAGATGAGAAGATCGATACCACTCTTATGTCTGCTAAATTTGAAGCTACAATCAGAAGACTGTTTGCTTAGCTTACGACTAGAAACAGGGTGAAACATCTAGCCAGCCTGGCTCTGTCCGAAGGTAACAAAATCGGCCTACCACCAGTACCTCTAAATCTCATAAATTATCACATAATATAAGTTTAATCTGTACAAATACCAAAGTGTAAAAGTATAACATTTACATGTCAGTGTTTTACGGAGCCAGGCTATTTCCTGCGCAGTAACTTCCTGGAGTCTTCACTGGCAACCTCGCGGTAATGACGACTTGAGGAAGGATTTTGTTGCCTTTGGACAGAGCCACGCCTAGCTATTTCCAGTCTTGCTGCTGTTGGTAGCTTAGGATATACCATACAGGCTGTTGTGATATTGCTCTTTTCTCATCTGCCTCTTGGTAAGAATGCAAAGAATGTATTTTTGAAATGTGTAACTATAATCAACACCTTCTTATAAACTCAGCCAACTAACTTTGTCTTTATTTTACCTATAATTAGTACCAAATCACACAGTGTTGTTCTTTTCAGGAAAATTTACAGGAAATAATCAAATTTTAAACTGTGTAATAAAAGCTGGGGTAGGCAGAAGCATTTTTGTTTTATTTGTTGAAATTATTTCATGGTCAGAACGGATGATGATGGCCTTCCTGCGCGCACTCTGCCTGTTCACCCATTGTGCATGAATATGTGTTTTGGGGAAGTGGCTTTGGAGGGAGGCCTGAAAGGAGGGGTTGGAGTTTTTTTGGTTGGATTCTTTCAAAATCTCTTCTGGTGGCCTACACCAGCTTTAAGTAAAAGATGTCATCAAGGTTCAGAATATGAGAATTTGTGGTAGATTTACACAAAACGAAACCTTTCTACAGGTTGGTTTCCCCAGAGCCACCTCCCAAGGGCTTCCTGGTGATTGGCTCCAAGTTCCGCTACAGTGGGCGGACCCAAGCCCAGACCAGACAGGCCAGTGCCCTGATTGACAGGCCTGCCCCACAGTTCGACCGGTCCGTTAGCAAGAGGTACTTGCTGCCCCGAAGCATTGATGGAGGTGAGAACCAAGGCCATTTACACTGTCCACACAGGGGTCCACTTGTATTTCCTGGATTATGTTGTGAGGCAATAACTTAGCTATAGCCTTTCATGCTTAGAAATGGATTGAGGGATGGATAGCAATAATGTATGTATGAAAACATACTTCTCCTCTCACAGTGTAAATATTTCAGCAACAGGGCATACTGAGTTTGTCTTGGCCCTGAAGGGAATGCCTACCAAACTTCTGAGATCCCTATGTTGTCAGTGCCTGAAATTCCTGGGCATTAAGACAGTTAACTTTTGATTTTGTGTTAGAGTGTAGCCCTTTGAGATAAACTGTATGACCCTGTTAATACAGTGTCATTTAAAAGCTGGAACACTGGAGCCCAGTTGGTGGGGGTGGCATTAGCTCAGTCCGAGGGGACTGGAAATTGAGAAACGGACAGTCACCGGTTCAAGTCCAACTGCTGAAGGTGCCCTTGAGCAAACCCCTGACTGCTCCCAGGGGGCTGCACAATGGCTGTTCACTGCTCCTAATTAGGATGGGGCTATGTATAAATTGAATTAAAATTAAATTAAATAAATTGTATGTGGCCAATAAAAGTGAATATTACCATCATTGTTGATGTTTCCTTCCCCTTGCTCTTCACAAGCCTCAGCTCTAGGTGACAGTATGGATCAGTTGTCCCAGCGAAGCTCCAGTGAACGCACACAGTTCATGTCCAGAGAAGACCTTGACCAAGAGGGTAGCCTGGACCTGGACCACGATCAGTACCCCTATCATGACCAAGACCAGGATGAGTACACAGATCAGGAGCTGGAGCAGCATGAAAGTCAGGACCACGATCACGTTCAGAAGCATACTCAGGGTGCCAACATCTCTACACCCACCAAGACCTTGGAGCTCAAGGTACAAGAAGCCTTCATCGTGGTTTATAGCTGTTAAAAGTGGCTGAAACGTGTACATTTTACGGCACACAGTAAAAATGAATGATATGTCAACACTGAGAAGACGAGAGCTGTCACTGAGCCACAGCCAGTCAGTCAGCAATGTAAATGACATCAACACTCACTTGATAAATGAAATATGCCCTTCAAGTGTGAAAACTATGTATGGGTTGAGGAAAGCACAACAAAACAAAACCAGTTGGCTCATTTGAAAAAGTACACAGCAGTTGCTGTGCCCCAAGTCAGAAAAATCCCTCCTCATCCTTCTCTCTCACATTCCTTTTCATTTATGACTGCTATCACCACCACTACTTTTCTCTCCTTGGCCTAATTTCCCCTATTTCCTGCCCCTCTCCAGACTTATAAGACTTAGTATGAGTCATCTCTCCTCTCCATTTCTTAAATTGCCTCCCAAAATCTAACTTGACCACTTTGCTGCAGATTTTTTAACCAAGCATCAACCTTGCCTTTAACAGTTCTTCTCTTCTCCCTGCTGTAATCTCAACGCACTTTGCTAACCTCTGCTCTCTTCTCTCTGACCTCGTCCTGTCCTGCAGGGTGAGGAGGCAGGCTCGCCTGTTGACTCAAAACCAGAGGTATTTTGGCCTTAGTGTCTGTGTGTGTGGTTTAGGCTGTTGTAGGTCATGCACCCGTACTCTGTGTTTGTTAAGCACGACTTGTCCTTTTTTTGATCGTTTGTCTCTGGAGGGAATGTTATTTCTTGTTATGTCATGATTTCCAGGATTCCACTGAGTGTAATCCATGGAAACTGCATGAATTGATATTCAGATGAATAGACATAAAATGTTTAATATACATTTATTCAGGCTCTTTCTTTTTTTCTTGTTTGCCCAGTGGAAAATCGTTATATTTTCTTTAGTGAGTGTCCCTGTGTTAAATTAGAAGGATTGATTGTTATTAGTAGGATAAACAGATGGCCCTTAAGCACTGTTGGGGATTCAGTGGTTCCTGAGTTGACAAATCTCCTGGTACTCCAGCTGAGATTTGTAAAATTCGCATTATTTTATTGAATTAATAATTAGTTCTGAACTAATCTTAAGTAGAACAAGCTTTCTAGATATGCACTACGTATTGTTGTAAATATATTTATTTAAATGCACATGTATTTTTCCTGTGCAGGAATGTTTGGTAGTGTTACTGAGTACGGCAGGAAATATTGGCATTGCATTGGTCACTAAAGGGTCTGTTCATTTGTGGTTTTGTAATGCCTTCTCACCAAATCTTTGGATGAAGAAGTATGGGAATAATCCCCCTCTTCAAGCACTTATGTCAATAGAGGAGTGCATTAATTATCAATTGGCTGACACTTAAATGGATTTTCCCTGTCTTCTTGGCAGAACATTAAATGGCTTAATGGTCTTAGTAAAAAGCCCTGATGGTGTCAACTGTTTCAGTTTGTCTGTCCATCTGGCCGCCTGCCTTTTTGACTCACCTGCAGCACTTTACCTCTTTGTCTCTGCACGCATCTGTTCTCCACCGCCCATCCCCCTCAACCCTCAACCTCCTGCTTTGCTCAAAACCCTTCACTTCATCTCACTGTGCCCCACCTCGGGCTCCCTCATCTGTTGGACAAGGATCTGGCCACCCGTCGGCCCAAACAGGAGGTACTGCTTGTCCCCTCTCTTTGGCATGTGCTGTGTGTGACCCTCATCAGGTGTGCTGTGTTTTATTATTCATAACTGTGCCGGTCAATTAATGTTAGAACACAGTCAACAGCAACAGGAGTTTGAGTTTACTTCAGGTTACTTTGGTGCATCACTTTCTTGAATGCAACATCATAGTTTTTGCATGTCGGTATCATATTTTCTGAACACTGTTCTGAACACTAAAGTCTTTTTTGTTTAATGTCTAGCCTTTTATCAGCGAATATTTAAAAACCTCAGTGAGTTTGGGGCTTTGTGCTTCATATTAGAAGATTGTTAAAGGGACTATATGTAAGTTTTTCAATGAAATTAACAAAATTTTCATTGCCTTATTGTCAATGGGCTCAAAACTCACTTAGAAATGAAGCACACGCCTGTTTTCTCCGTTGCTGAAGCCCATCAGACCAAACAGGTTAAGATGATGTCGAGTAAGAACAAAGTGAGCATTAGTAAAGCTGGAGAAACGTAGAGAAAGTCACGTTAGCTCGCCGGCTAACACCGAGCAGTTGCTAATGTTATCCAGTGCAAAGTTATATCGCTTTCCACATTACTTCACTAAGTAACGCGACCTATGTTACTATCCTGTGTACCACTGTTGATTTAGCCTGCAAGAAAGGATGTAACGGGAAAAAGCAAATGTGAAGCTGTTGTTTCACATTTGCTTACTGTTGTTTACTAACGTTAGCATATAGCGATGCAGCCAGCTAACGCTACAGTAGCTCGGACCTGCTGCCGTTTGCTTTGTAACATTCAGTTTAGGTTTATTGTGGTTTACCAAAACTCAGGTAGACAGCTTGTCCACCTCTCCGCCGCTGTAACTAACGTGACCCACATAATATACAATACTGCAACTTCACAGTGTTGCGTATAACAGATTTTGATCAAGGAGAGGCTCAGTCCAATGAAAATTAACAAAAAGATTTAATTACAAAAATTTGTGAAAATTGAGATGACATTACAGAACAACCAAAAACACTGCAGTTGACTAAAGAAGCTTCTCTGTAAAGATCTACAGTTTCCAGTCACCAAGTTACTGCCGCCCCCAGCAGAGGACCGGAAAGTTGCTTTTCCTCACAGATTCACAGCTTACAGTCCCGATTCTATCAAAATAGGTTGTTAATATCCTCCAGGTATGTGGGCAGGTCCTTTTTCCTCCAAATGGCTCAGGACCGTTTGGTTACTTCTTCGTCACCCAATTAGGAAGGGTGTAGCCTACCTTAATGTTCTACGTTGCTTTTGGTCAAACAGGATCTGAGGAATACACAGTCCTTGCTCTACCAACTAGTCATACAGCACAACAGGGGTTGTATCCAAAACGGTCGACACCCAATCTTAGGAGTCTATGAAGAAGTTAAACAAAAGGATCCTTCTGGCACTAAACAGAGGTGTCAGTTTCTTCACATTACAAAGAGGAGATAAACAATGGTTTAATTAACATTCTAATGCAATTGTCTGGCCTAAAACCCTGCAGTTTTACATTTGAAGGAAAACACTGAAACACTGGAATACATTAAGTTTTTAAAACTCAACAACAGCGACAACAACCCAGAGGAAGAGCCATCCACTAACACTACAGTAAAGTTACTTACAATCTCGTTATAATATTCAGCCCAGCTCACTACCCGTTTCTTTATCATCCAATACATTTAGCTGTGCTAACATTGCTGAGCTTCCAGTGAAAGATACACAGATAGTAAAGATAGTTACTGAAAAGCAGCAGGCAAGCTAACGATGTAGCACGTCGGCTAAATGCAGTGAATGTACCGTGATCATGGAACGAGCATGGATTAGTTCAACCTGCAGCTGATAAAACTATTACTGTAAAGTTGCAGTAAGGGTTTACCTGAGCTTCCAGTATATTGTGTGAAGCTGTCTCCCTGCCTGTCTATAGCCACTGTCACTCTGCCTTTTTCCGGGAGGATTATGCTGATATGTGGCTCGCTGCACTGAATGAAGTAACATTATGGAGCCGGTGTTGAGCTGACTCTGAGTCGGGAACGTTGAAGTAACAGAGCCTGAATATGTCTGAGTGAAAAGCCACAGCCTGCATGCTGGTGTTTCTGTGTTTATTGTAGGATCTCTGTATGAAAGTGGTTGTGTTTCGGATTATGCTCGCTCATGAGTTTAAGCCATGAGCGTGCGTACAAGCACACGCCTGGTGCAAATGGATATTTATCATAGTATTTTTGAAAAATGTACTGTTAAATATAGTTTGTCCTTGTAATCAGGATATTTTAAACCTCCTTTAAATAACTGAATCTTAGTCTATAACGCTGCAAGGTAAAAGAAAAATGTTAATACTTGTGATCCTCTACTGTAACAAAGTTCATATGGGTTTCCACACAGTTGCTAAACAGATAACAAACAAGCAGGCATCACACCCTCACCAGAGCAGTTACAGTAAAGATTTTAAAATGAAAAACCTCCAGGTTCATTTTCAACATATCTAGCTCACTTGAAGAAATGAGCATAACCAGAATGTAATAGATTCAGATCCAGGATTTGACCATATGTTAATTTGTGTCCCTGGTGTGCTCTTTACTGTGTAAGCAGCAGTTCTTGGATAAGCCAGAAGATGTTCTACAAAAGCACCAGGCCAGCATCAATGAGCTGAAGAGGGCTTTGAGGCAGCCTAACAGCAAGATGGCTCAGAGGGAGAAACGCCTCTCATCAGCTACTCCTCCTGGAGGAACCCCCGAGCGGAAACCAGTAAGAACAAGATGCTATTCCCAGATCACTATACCTACTATACTAAAATTAGTTTCCTATATGTTACATGTTTCTGAAAAAAATATATCCGTCAGCCATTTCCCCCACCTTTCTACTTTTCCATTTTCTGTCAAACGTTTGATTCCACTGAGCCAAAACACAGAAAATCTTTTTTTTTTTTTAAATCTTGAAATGCATCCAAGTTTGCGCAGTCATAGGTCCCCCCAGTTAACCACTGTTTTCCTTCACTAATCATTTACAGCAATTATGTGAGTTAACAATGATATCACAAATGCAAGAGCAGTGTATCTAGCTAGGCTAATGCAACTGTTTACTCTATGTCAACTTAGGCAACTGGCGATGCCAAATTGATTGACAAGCAGGATGCTAATGAAGGAGCGCTGGATACTTACTCTCAGTTGGAAAATAGTAAGACCTCCTCTATGGGTAGAGACACATTCTCTGTCACACCTTGGACTGAAGCAAATAAAAACAATTGTCAAACACCCAGGGACTCTTTTAAAACCAGACCTGGAACATCTCCGAAACAGGAAGCAAACCTTACAGCAACAGTGCTAACAGGTATGAACCTTATGGACAATACAGTAGCAACTAATGGGCATCATGACTCTGTACTAGCGAGGAATGGCATTCAAGAAAATGGATACGGATCTCCACCTGACAAACAGAGGAGTACGATGATCGACAGGGACGTGAGGCAATGTCAGTATGAGCACAGCATTCATCGAGAGAGACCAAAGAACTTTGAAATTCCGGTGGCTGTGGATTCTCTCCCAAAGGGCAAGGCGGGCAGAACTGAGAGTGACGCGAGGCATTGTGAGACTTGGAAAATAAAAGACCCAAGCCCCATTGGGGCAAAAGATTTCAACGAAACAGGGAACTCACACTCAGAAACCACCAAAATAGTTCCTCTCAAGCCTCAGAGATCAAAGAAGTCTTTGACTAAAGAGAACAAAGATCTTGTAAACCCTCAAACGCAAAGCCAGTCTGATAGAGGCTTCTTTGTTGCGACTGGGGATGTACAGATGACAATATCAAAAGGCGGATCCTGTGAGGCAGGAAGGAGAGTGGGTGATAATACCGTACTGCACTCTGCCACAGATGTTGTCAAGGAAAACACAGGGGCCACCAGATACCCCAGTGAAGCTGCAGTGTCATATCAGCAGCAAACTCTACTGCTACATCAACAGATTAAGACGGAGTTGTTTGGACAACAGGAGCTCAGAGACTGCAGAACTACGACAGGACAAAATCAGTGGACAAGAGGAGGTGTGCTACACGAAGAGTTTAAAGAGAGTCTCCTAGCCAGCTCCAAATTTCCAGCAGCTCCCCCCCGAACTCTTCCTCTGAAAACGCAGTGGTCCCGAGACAGACAGAGCAACTTGGACAGCAGCCACATCCACTACAGGACGTCCAGCCAAGAAACAGCCAAGAGGAAGCAAGCGGTAAACCATCTGCCCCCTAACCTGTTTGTCCATCATCGGAAAGTAAAACATTGCATGAGCTTCAGGCGTGCAAATCTTGTTTTTACCATCCAAAAAAACCCAATAAAAAAAATCACACACACACATACTTCAGAACTCATGTGGCTGTGTTTGAGAAAGCAAAAGTTCACGTTCCCTCGCATCGCATCATTGGCTCAGAGAGCTTTTTGCTTTCCGTTGTTCCCCTCCTCAAAAGCTTGACATCTGCTTGGCCATTTCAGAACGCCGCGGGCCCTTTAAGCAAAGTTTCCAATGCTTAAGCTTCAGGCGTCCCTGTTATCCCACCTTAACTTGTCACGTTAACACCTGGTCTCTCCTTCCAACATCTTCACGGGATAAAGGTGGCTGCTGTTGCAAGGAGCACAAGACCTATTCCACCATTTTTCTTTGAAACCTCTTTTGTCACATACGTTTTACCTTTTTGTAAATGGCTGAGAAGGGCATTTGGACCAAATGTTCTGCCTTGGCACCTCTGTAGCAGTAGCAGAAAATGAAAAAGGCGATTAGATGTAATCACAGGCTGCAGAGCTGCCAAACCTCTTCAGGCTGTAGGCATTCATATGCTACATTTACGAATATGAATACCTTTTCCCTGCAAGGGATTTTGATAAATCTAACCTTTCAGTGCATGGCATTACCATTGCACTTGCAGTCATTTTTAATGATGTCAACCTGTGAAATATACCCTATGTGCATGCTTCTGACAGTAGCCTTAAGCGTTACAGTCTCTGGGAATTCTCATATGCGTATTTATTGTTTAAGTTTAACATAAGCCCTGGAGTTGGTTGATGAATTAAGTGTTTACATTGTATAAATAATAATGCAGTGAGCTCCACCCAGTACAAAGGCAATTAACCTGTGAGTGGAGAACATTACAACACAGAGTCTCTAATGTGAAGTAATACTTTTGTCAGCCATGTTTTGTGCTGCAAACAGAACGACAAAACCCCTCTTATCTGTTTCTGCTCTCTCCTTTTCTGATGGATTTACAGACATGGTAGCTACAATATAGAATAGGTATCAGGGTTTATGGTTGTTGTAATTTCACAACATGCTTTATTAGTTTTATTTTAATGTTTGTTTGGTGTTTTCTTCTATAGGAGACACCTCCCACACCGGCTATTCATGAGGAGCCTTTCAACGAAGCTTCAGTGAGTCATCTCTCAGCTCCACCAGACTCTTATTTGTTTTTCCTCCTTTTTAGCCACTCCTTTGAAAAATAAGGAAACAAATGACACAAATAACACATTGGTCTTCAAGATGTTTTCATTAGCGTGTTTGTGTTTATATGCAAAATGTGGAAATTGTCCCACTATTCTGGTTTCATTAAAGGCACAGTCAATGAGGACACCCCACCACCAAAATACAAAACACATGATTTTAAACCGCTAACATTATACAATAGCTTAATCTAATTTATAATGTTTTCTGTTCCTCTTAAAACTTTTGCTTTTATCTGTAATTATTGGAAAACATTTTTAATTCTGATCAGCAAAGAAACGTTTTTTTTTCTAGCTCAATATTTAAATTTGCTTGTGGTTTACATGATTCTAAGTGTTAAATTGTACCAAATGTTCTGCACTCTTTTCTGCAGAGGGAACCATGGGAGAGACGTCTGGGCTCCGTCTCAGAGGATGACCAGGACCACGAGATCCTGTTCCTGAAGGAAACCCACCTAGGCATCGAGCGCAAATGTTCCAGCATCACGGTGAGCTCCACGTCCAGCTTGGAGGCCGAAGTAGATTTCACCGTCCTCACGGACCTGCACACAGGCATGGAGGAGTTCTCCAGGGGCATGTCAGAGCTAGGAGACAGGGATCTGTCACCTGACGGGGGTCTGTGCTTTGGCATCGACTTGCTCCAGCAACAGGGTCCCTCTGAACTGCCTCCTCCATTAGTGTCAGCTCCTCTGTCCAGAGGAGCCAGCAGCAGCAGCCCTCCAGCCAAACATATCCAGCCGGAAGAAGTCCGACCAGAAGTCAAACGGTCTGACGTGCAGGTATAGCAAGTTTTCATATTGAGTGTGTGTGGAGCACTTAGAGGCCTCTCCTTTAGTTTGATTTGTTCAGGCAGGTAGAGAGAACAATACTATTTCTTGGCACCTAAAATATGTGTACAGAATTGTTTTATATATCTGTGCACTTATGAGAAGTTAATAAAAGAAAAGAGTGCGGTCATGTATTTTGCCAAGGCAACACAAAGTAAGACTGGATTTCGATCCTCCCCAACCCTCCTAAAGAACCCCTCCTATAACACCACCATATCTTAGTGCTATCCAAGTTTCCAATAAAGTGTGATGACAGGCCACCAAAGCGAGCTGTTGATGGGTTCATGGGAGTTTTGTTGACAAGCTCTCAAGCTCTTTGCCTGTGCAGTAGGTGGTCAGTGTGAATGTGCATGAAGCGAAAAATAGACCGGGGACAACATTTCCACTGTGGTTCGAATGGAAAAAAAAGAAAATAAATAAATTGTGGTGTGATCACACCCGAAGTGTTTGTCACAGATTTCAATGTGTTTTTCTGGGTCTAGTTTTAGTTTTTTTAAGTTTAGGTTTATGATTTGAATTTTGTCAAAGGTCTATAGCTGAAGATGTACATTGAATATAAATTGCTGCTTCTGATGCACTGAAATAAAAAAAAGAGTGGACAAAGGACACAGTAATTGGCACTGAAATATGCTGGCAGGCAACATGTTTTGAATTAAATGTTCTCTGTCGTGCAGCACTGAAGGGTAATGAAGAAAGACCCTTCAACTTTTCTCCTTCCTGATTTTCTGTCATCTTCTTTATCTTATTTCTAAGCTGAAAACACAAACTCATTGTCCATATTCTCTTTTATTTATCTCAGTGCATCAGAATATTCAATACATTTCTTGCATCAGTTAACGGTCTTTTTAAAGAATTTAGGCAAAAGGCAACAGACATTCAAGCTCATCTGTCTGTATTTGTGTGAAAACTAAAACTTGTCCCCCCCCCACTCACTTAAGCCTGTAGTACCCAAAAAACCAAAGAGGTCGGTGCCAGTGTCCTCGTCAGTGGACAGAGAACAGTCGCACAGAGAAGCCAGTCGCGTGTCGGCTGTCAGACCACTGAGCAGGGAGGCCAGTGACGTCATGCCCACAGCGACAGTGAGGAAGACGGATGTCAGGACTGAAACCCAGCCCAACGGGTCAGAGGTCACCACAACCATCGTGGAGTTCACAGATCAGGTTAATTGCATATTTTAGTGAGAAATATTGTTGATAAAAAAAAATTTAATATTTGATGCAACGAAAACTAGAAACTGTTTCATTATGTTGTAATACATTAAGTATTAATACCTAAATGTCACCTAATAAATTTATCTGTTTTAGGATCAGAGTATCACAAGTGAAGTTTCTTACTCTACGAGACAGAGCGTATCCCCTGTGAGTACAAAAACGAAAGACCTCTCCAATTTTAACTCAACCTGCAGCACACGCCTTCCTGCTCTCCAGGGTTTAAACCTACTTACAACGACCAAAGACATGAATTTATGAATAAAATGTGCCTGACTGGATGTCCTAAAGTATCACAGAAGAATTACTGTGTGTCTTACACACACATAATCTGTAGTGATCTGTGCATATTTACAGCATTTGCCTAATGCTGCCAGGTGTTCTGCTTTCTCAGGTGCATGTGAGTGGTCTTGGAAGAGAGGCGTCTGGGTCGCCCATCCTCGTCACTGAAAATGTTACCTCGGCAACCACTCATGTCACCAAGGTACAGAAGCTTAAGTAGAACTTACAACACTTACAATGTCATGTATAATTATGATAAAGTGGGTTCCACAAAACACGCCGAGGTGCAGCTCATCACTTCTGTCTGAATGCTGTTAGATGTGGCCTCTACATCTGAATGCTATTAAAAGAAAAGCCACTGTGTGTTGCAGACAGTGAAAGGAGGATATTCCGAGACTAGGATCGAGAAGAGGATCATAATCACAGGAGACGATGATGTAGACCAAGAACAGGTGAGCTGAAATATACAAATGAACTGTGGATGAAACCATTAAGTCAAAAGAACCATGTAGTTATTGGCTGTTGGTTTTCTAGGTGTTGTACATTTTTGGTTGTGGTTGCTGGATGCTTTGTAAGTTAGAAATACTGCACATTTCTAATTGTCTCATCAGATTAGTATTTATAAACCTATTTAGAAACACTTAATATCCTTTGAATTTAAACATTGCCCTGCCAAGAAGCCATGGATTATTTCATAGAGTATGTCATGCATTTCAGACATTGAATGAATACAGTAATTGAATAAATTAAATATGCAAAGAAAATCAGGCTTCACCTAACGATTATTTTCATTATTAGTCTGGTGATAAATTGTTTGTTGTTTCAAAATAGTAAAAAAAAAATAGATAAAATTACCGTTCCAACTTCCCAGAGGCCAAGGTGACACTTAAAAACTCAACTCAAAGAAGATTACAGTAATACTGTTTATGACTAAAAAACAGCAGATCTTAACATTAGAGAAGCTGTAACTAGACACTGTTTGGCATTTTGTCATTATTTTGGCTTGAAAAAGAGTCTGAATAATTAATGATTAATAAAATACATGCCGTTTATTGTTCTTTGTCGATCAGCTAATAAAGAAGTAAAAACTAATCATTTCAGAACATTTCTTGATGCAAGCATGTCAAAATGTCTTCCCTATTGTAGAGAAATCTGTGTCTTTCTCTAACAACAATCTCTTCTGCTCACCATTGCTTGGGGCTGTCTCTTTGCTGTACATTGTTCTTCCTTCTAAAATGAATAAAGAAGAGACGGAGAGAGAAAAAGAACAAGATGAGAAGGGAATCCTTTTATTTCATCTCTTCCACATATTACTGTGTTTGTCTTGTTACAGCTGGTATGTGCATGTCCTCTAGGCTCAGCAATTCGTATTTTTCAATCATGAAAATATTATGCAGTATACATTTATAACAAGTTCATCTGGTTGTAGGGTTTGTTAAGGAACATTTCTAAATTAATATAGCTATGATGACTGCAAAAAAATATTTTTTGCCTTTCACCTATTGCTGAATTAAAGTTGTTTGTTAGCTGTAGTTAAGATGCTGTAAATGCGTCTGACAATTCTATTATGTTGTTGAATAAGAACATTAACTGGAATTCAGTCTTGAACACAGAAATCTTTAGAAAAGTTACACATTTTCCCCCGTAAGTCACTTAATACAAGAACCACAGTTCCCTCTTTTCTTGCAGGCTCTGGCTATTGCAATACAGGAAGCCAAGCAGCAGCATCCAGATATGCAGGTGACCAAGGCTATTGTTGTCAGGGAAACAGAATCGTCCACCGAGGATCGACACGGTGCATCAGAGGTACAAGTGCCATCTTGACTATAAATGATAATATCTGAAAAAGATTTAGCCTCACAACCCTCCTTTGAGATTGAGGGATTTAAGGATGACTGTCTCCTCTTTCTTACCCGCAGTCCTGATTTCCTGAGACGAGAGTGCCCCCCTTTGGTACAGAAGTGTCAGTGCCCGACCTGAAATTGCCACCCATCATCCCTACTGATAGACTACTGCCAGTGGCGCTCAAATGCGAGCCTCTTGTACACATCCTCACACAACAACACACACACACACACACACACACACACAAAGCTGAAACAAGACTCCTTTTAAAATCTTATATTTTATGTTTCGTGTTTATGTTTTTACTTAGACATTTCACTATTGAAACCATTCACGTTCAGCAAATGGTTTGGTGGTCATGTGGCAAAAAAAAAAAAAAAGCATTATTCAGTATAATTCAAAGTCCTAGTGCTGGTGGACAATACGCCACCAGAATCTCAAACATATGGAACAATTATAGAGATAATCCAACTAAATTGCCTGCCTCTCAGGGCCTCTATATTCAGACCACTTGCTTAAGTATTCCTCAAAGGTCAAAGGGAATTAGTGCAGAAGGGGTTTGTTTGGATAATCTGTGCACTCATTCACACTGTGGAATAATCCAAGGTCACGTGCCATGTTGGTACCCATCCCATGCAGATAGTATCATTTGGAAAAAAGGAATATGAGTTAAAAATGGTCATGCACATACAGTAGTCTTCTATACGTCTGTCCTGCTGTACTGAATACCAAGATATCACCCGTTTCCTACTGTGTGTGCTGAAAAAAAAACCTGCTGAAAAAAAATAAGACTGTGTGTGCTTACACTTTGTTAATAAGTAAAATAATCCATTACATGTAGTTACTGTTACAGCATCCAGTGAAGCAGGGTTTTGTAAGAACAGGGCAAACCCTACTTTTAGTTTTGCGCTCTTGCATAGCTAGTCAGATGAACAAATGAGCTTTGTCCCACCCCCCATCTCACTGACTGATGAGGATGCACAGAGTAGAACAGATCATATAGAGTCCAGCAAGGTCTGGTGGTGTTTATTCAACTGTTTGTGAAGGACCAAAGTCTGAGCTAGTCAGCTAACGAATACTTCCCCTCTATCTGTCTCGCCTGATAAGAGTAATTTACCATCATGTGTGGGTGGCATGTATTCAAGGATATGATTCCAGTTGCTGCATCATGATGGACTTTGATTGGACTGTTCGAGAACTTCTGTGTACGTGTCTGGAGCTGTTAATACACCCAGTGTACCTGTTGTATCTATTCCAATGGTGGCGATGTAGTTTCTGAGCATGCTAATGTTCCAGAATGAGCCCAGTTTCTCTCCTTTCCCAGCCTTTAGATATGCTTTCAGAATTCAGCTGGATATGATACCACTTTTGTGTAGTAAGTACATAGAGTAGGCTCACGCAACGGGCTGCTGCATCAGTAAAACTAGTACTTGAGATAACGTTTGCATGAGCATTTCTCGCATTATTGGATTGTAGTTGAGATATAAAGGATATTACCTCATTAGAAGGATGTATCACGATATCCAGGATCATGAAAGATAACACTGTGAAAAGTTACAAAAATGTAAAAGCCTAATTGTCCACAATCGGAAGTCAAATCTGAGCTCTGAAAAACAAACAAAAAAACAAAAAAGGAAATGAAGGTCCCGACAGGAAATGAAAAGCATTTATTAGAAAAGGTGGGAAATGTCAAGCACAATGCGTTCAGTTTTGTCAATCCCAAGATCCAATGACTGCACAGTGGCTACAGTTTCTTCCTTCAGTTACAAGTCCTTAACAGTTTTATCTCTTTTTAAGCCAAATGTGCTGTTCAATATATTTTACACATCAGTTTGCTTTTAGTTTAATTTCCCCATCGAGAAACATAAAGTAGGCCTGTTTTTTTTTGCCTTTTTTTATGCATCTGAGCCCTTCCAATATCCTTTCAAGCAAAGTGCAGTGTTAAATAAAATATACAGTAGGAATACATCTCTGTACTTGTAGTTTTGTGTGATTTGGTACATGAATGTTTGAGGGATGCCGTAGACATGTAGTGGGCCAATTAAGGTAGCGGTGAAATTGTACAATCTCTGATTTTGTATGAAATAACTTTTTATGAACAACTACTTTTAATTACAGAAGTGCCAGAAAGCCAAATGCATAAACTTGACACGGCAGGGTTTCCCCTTTAATTATGGTGTCTTTAACATTGCCTGCAAAATTTCTGTCTCCTTGCTAAAGTCATATTTTATATATAAATGCAGCAGCAAATTCATTCAAATGAGGAAAAACAATGTTAAACTGTCATGTCAGGTTTATGAGGGTATAACTGAGGTATAGCTTTGGCTTTCAGACACTAAAGTTTACTGTCAACGTTCACGTGTGTAGTGTAATTCACGTTGTGTTTCTTTTTTGTTTCAAAATCTTTTAAAGTGATGGTTAATCATGGATGTGGGTGTCACACTGGAAGCTGGGGGGGGGGGTGGGGGGGGGGTGCAGCCATGCATACCTTTTACTGTATTTGGTGCCATTTGGTGGATTGTGACGATGTGAAGTAGTTAAATTCCACGTGCTTGATGCACACTAGGGGGCACCAGTTACCTGAAAGAGAAAGCTCTGCGGCAACATCAAGCATACCCAGCTGAAATCCTTCTCACCATTCTTCACTAAGGGGCAGAATTATCCAGATCATCCTTGGATCAAGCTGTAAGGTCAAACTTACCTTAAAACGGCCTGCTCTTGGAAGTCTGACAACTAATAACCAGACTGTGATTAATCACAAACATTTGGCTGTGGTCTGAGACACCTGGAGCTGTCTGACTGGGCGACCTCTGGCTGACCCTTAAACCTAGCCCTCTCCTCTCTGTACAGAGCCCTCCTCCTCCTCCACAGCAGCTTCATCTCTCCTGCTCTCCATTGCTTGGTGCTGTGTCTTTGCTGTACAATGTACTTGCCTTCCTTTGAAATGAATAAAGAAGAGAGAGAGCCAAAAAAAGAAAAAATAACAAGATGAGAAGGGAATCCCTTAGTTTGATCTCTTCCACAGATCTCTGTCTTATTACAGCTGGTATGTGTGTGTACGTTTGTCCTCCAGGCCCAGTAATGAAATGCAGCTACTGAATTTTATCATAAAAGATTATGCAGTATAAATCTGTACAAAGTGCACTGGTTTTAGGGTTTGTTCAGGAATATTAATGTATTAATACACCTAAGATGACTGCAAAAAATTGGTTTTCTTGCAATTATTGGTCACCTATTGCTGAATTTAAGTTGTTTGTTAGCAGTAGCTAAGATGCTGTTAAAGCATCTCACAGCTAAGAGAAACATTTGAATCATACATATGTTTACACAATCTGTACATTAGTATTTAAACCTATATTAAATTACTTTAAATGAAAGTGGAGTTATATAGTTAGTGATACTCAGATGTGGATCACTGATGTCAGGTTTCTGCTCTCCACAAGTTTAACACAACCTCAGTCTTTTTAGAGACATGATTGTCAAGTGTTATAGCTCACAGTCAAGCAGATGCAGCTTACAAAACGGAACAAACTGAAGAAACTCAGCATTGGCACTCTCTTCCCTGTGAGAGCAGCAGGTGTGAAGATCACTGCAAGAGTGCCAAACAAATCTTAACAAGGCATCACGTTCACAGTTTATGGGTGTAGATGGATCTGCAGATATTGATTGCACTTATGAGCATCTGTTTTCAAATTATTGATCAGGAGCATCCATGTAAGGGGAACAGAGAGAAAATGCAGCTCTCTCTCTTTCTGTTTCTTGTTATACGGCATCGAGTCCGATTAGAAGCAGTGGTTCACGTTTATGTAGAGTAATACAAACAGAAAGTTACTACACTTTGTGAGCTTCAAGTCTAGGAACATTTTAAAGTGTGACCTTTACGTCAAATTAAAGAAACTGTGAAAGTTTATTCTTGGCCTTGGAAAATGGGAGTATGACAAAAAGAAAAAGTCTTACCTCAAGGTCCGCTAATCACTAGGTTTTTCTGGAGCAAACTCCATCTGCTAAGGGAGAACATAAGAGGCATGACCTTTTGGCCTCATCAAAGAAAGAAAGGAGGAAAATGGCATTATGTTTATTAAAAGCAGATTGATCCATTCAGACATCCTAAGCGACGTAGGTACGTACACTGAGCAATCTCATGCCAAACAGCAGCTGACAGTAAAATACCATTCCTACTTTGTAATAAGCTATGTTAGAAAAGTCAGATATCACTGCCACTTGTACTGTATTACAATGCTCATCATGAAAGACATACTGTAGGAGAAAGGCATGTTGTTTCTGAGCCCAAAACGGCCAAAAATATGATCTAAAAAGTTACAAATGTGAATTATCTCAACACAGCGTACAGTATGGTCAGAGATTCATAAATTATAGCACGAATGACGCAAAATACAATGCGAATAAACAGAGGAGGAAAATAAATAAACGTCTCTTGAATAACAACAACATGGATAGTAATCATAAGACTTAAGGCTCATTTGGGACCTGAGGATTTCATACATACAGTGTACAACAATGCGTCTCACGCTGCTCAGCGTGCCTTTGTTACACACTTATCATGGATGAGGGAGGAAGGTAAGACATCAATTTATCAACACAAGTCTGCTGTTTACAATGGAAGCCATATTCCGGGTGCACAAGCTGCATTTTCTCACAATGACACGACGGGTGGAACTGAACCTTACTGGCTCAATACCTTTGGTTACAGTCAGTTACATGGCAACTCTGAGTTTTTGGATGTAATGTGGTGTAACATAAAAGCATGAATAAAATCATCCAGGCAAAGTTACAAAGGTCCCAAAATTCTGGTCAGCAATGAGGCTTAGCTCCCTGTTTGTTGACAGGGATTAGTAACAGTTGGTTTTCCTTCTTAGACAGTGCAGGAAGTTTCCCACAGTCTAAAGAGAGACAGGAAATGACTTCACCCATTTCTTGTCCTAAACCGAGCTTAAAGATAAACTTCACTTAATTTCACTTTTAGCTATGTAAGTGCTTTAGGTCTCCTCCATCGCCAGTTAATCCCATCCATCATCCAAGAGAAGTCCAGACTCACGCACATGACTGTTTAACAGAACTTGCACAGTCCCACAGAGAAAATACATACACATTCTATTGTGCATCACACACCACTGTGCCTCCAAGGTTAAAACCATATGAGAACATCCACTGTTTATAAGGGAGCAAAGAAAGAAACATCTTCAAAGAGACTGCAGTCGAGTCATGGTGTCCTTTAAGGTCCATAAAAGCAACTTCTGAAAGAGCCAGTTCCTTTCAGTAACTCCTTTAGAAAGGTGGAGGAAAAGGATCTTCCTCACAAAGAGATCTGTGTAGAAAGAAGCGGAAAGACACGGGAGGGTGGGGGAGGGAGCAGGTGAAAATGTGGCCTGTCAGCCTCTTGTTGTCTTTGACCTGCTGTTTCTCCTCTTAATAAGAAGCTGCAGTGCCTGGGTTCCTGTAGGTGTTTGTCATAGCACAGTCCTGGCTGTGAAGATTAGTGCTGCGAGGTTGATCAAGGGAAATGCAGAAGACTCTGGGGCTGCTCCTGTGGGCAAGAAGTCTGAAATACAGAAACAAATCAAAATCCATGAAGGTATCCCATCAATTAACACATCAAAACGCATTCAGTACAAATAACTGCAGTGTGGTGGGAGTACACAACTGTGTCCATAGATGGCACTGTTGCTGCACTCAATTATGGGGCAACCTCACTATCAAAGAGCTAGACTGTAGGCATGGAGGGTGGGCAGCGCAACAGACATAGTTTGATTAAAAGGAAACATCCACTCTTCAACAGCCAGCTACTGACAATATTTCTGAGCCCATTTTGTTGTTTGATGATAAATATTTCTCAGTCTATGGATAAGAAACTGTAAACACAATGTTCATACTTCTCAGAGAGAAAAGGCTCATTTGAAGACTGTTCTGTTCTGCACCAACATTTAATGGAGGAAAAAACATCATAAAAAAGCCACACACTAATTTATCTACAGGCAGTAGCCTCAAAAGACCATAATAAAGTGCATCTACAGAACATGTTGTGTTTACAGTACTACAGAATATTATATTGAGTAGGTACACATTGGTCTTAGTAATAGCAACAATATCACAGTCTTTCTGTGAGTTCTTGAAAACTGTTTTAGATAGAAGCAATCAATTTAGGGAGAAGTAGACAAGAGAAGTTGAGGAAAAGTGGACTCAAAACTAGCTCATCTGAATCCAAGTGTTTTTGCAGCGGCATCTCACAGAGACAGACATCATTTTCACGTCTCAGCACCGTCCCACCTGCTATCTTGGGGATGGTGATCTGGCGGCTGCTGCTGCCCTCCCCTCCCTCGCTGAAGGGTTTAATTTGGATGACGTAGTCCTGGTTCACTGGCAGCGACAACTCCAAGGAGGTGGTGTTGGTCTCCACCACACTGGGGCGGCCGTGTTTGTCCTGGCTGTACATCACCTGCAGGAAGCAGAGAGGGAACGATGATAACAATAATGATAATGTGAGGCATGGCATGAATTCTCTCCAAATACAGTGCATCATACTGAAGGGTTTCACAGAGTTATTTTTGATGTGTTGACAAGAAAATCCAAGTTCTAGCCCGTTCCTTCCGACAGCTCCATGAGATTTAGTGCGCTGCCTCTGAAACTAACAAGGATGAATCTTACTGTAGATATCCATGTTGGACCACCAGAGGAGAGGGTGCAGCAGAGATAAGGGGAATGCAGAGATAGATAAATCCTGACTTTTCAGCTTCAGCTTGACTCTGGGCTGTGGAGGCATCTGTCCATTTTAGTTTACAGAAAGCCCCGCTTTCAGGAGACCCCTTTATGTAGGGTGCTGCTAATTAATCCTGTAACCTTTTTTTAGATTGATAGGCCAAATGGCACTTCAGAAGGATTCATAAAATCCTGAAATGCAATCATTAAAGGGGCATTATGTAGTTTTCAGCAGCCACTAGTGGTGCGGTTGTAAGATTGCAACCAGATGTGTGCTCCAACGTGTGCTCGCTTGAACTCATGAGCGAGCATAATCTGAAACACAACCACTTTTATACAGAGATCCTGCAATAAACGCGGAAACAGTGGCATGTCAGCTGTGGCTTTTCTTCAGTCATGTTCAGGCTCTGTTACTTCAACATTCTCGGAGGTAGATTAACACTGCGTCAGTACCTTTCATTCAGAGCAGCGAGCCGCATATTGGCACAGTCCTCCCGTGAATAAAGACAGTGTGACAGCAGCTATAGACAGGTAGGGAGACAGCTTCACACAATATAGTGGAAACTCGGGTAAACTCCCACTGCAACGTTACAGTAATATTTTTATCAGCTGCTTGAGGTCGAACTAATCCATGTTCGTTACATGATAACTTACCTTTACTGCATTTAGGCGAAGTGCTACATCGTTAGCTCGCCTGCTGCTTTTCAGTAACTAACATTACTATATGTGTATCTTTCACCACAGGCTCAGCAATGTGAGCACAGCTAACATACATGTATTGGATGATAAAGAAACGGTTAGTGAGCTAGAATGAATATTATAAATGCAATTGTTGTCACACGTGACAGACGTTAGTGGATGGGTCTTCCTATGTGTTGTTTTCGCTGTTTTGTTGCATTTTTTTATATTATGTGGGTCACGTAAGTTACAGCAACTGAGACGGTGGAGAAGCTGTGTACCTGAGTATCCATAAAACCACAATAAATCTAAACTGAACGTTACAAAGCAAATAGCGACAGGTTTAGCTAATGTAGCGTTATCCTGCCTCCATCACTGTAGGCTAACGTTATATATAAATCATTCCACATTTGTTTTTTACTGTTACATCCTTTCTTGCAGGCTAAGTCAACACCTTCACATAATATCAGTGGTACACAGGATAGTAATGTGGGTCGCGTAGGGTGGTGAACTAATGTGGAAAGCGATAAAACTTTGCACCGGATAACGTTAGGAACTGCTCAGTGTTAACCGGCTCTCCGTGTTTCTCCAGCCTTTCTGATGTTCTGATGTTGAATCTCGTTTGGTCTGATGGGCTTCAGCACATAAAA